AAAGCCGAGCTCGTGTGCCAAGCTGAGCTCGGCCCTTGAGAGACGAAATGGGCTCATCGCCACCTCTAATATTACGTTAAGAGAGTGACGAAATGGAAACAAAAAGTTAACTTTAGTGACCACTTTAAAACAAAATGACTTTCAATAGTTAACATGAAACTTCACTATAAGTTGAGTGACTAACAGTTTTTTAACACTATATATTATGAATCATTAAAAAGTCATAAGATTGGGTCTGTAAGCCCCATTGCAGTACTATGAAGGAAGAGCTGTCTGGGGATTTCATATTTATGGAGATTAGATACTGCATCAGCTAGCAATGGTTCTATTAGAAAAGCTTGCTGGCCTTCATTTTTTCTGTCATTTGCCTTTCTCATTTCTTCTACTAGAGCTTGGCCTTCATTTTTTTTGTCATTTGCCTTTCTCATTTCTTCTACTAAAGCTTTACTTGTTTCGATACCTGCTCATTTGGATAAAAAGAAAAACATAGTTCAAATGTTTGAACATATACAATTTTTTCCAGAAATTGCATTGTTCAGGATAATTTTAGTTTGCTTACCTGAAAGGAGACCTCCATGCACGTACCCACTGAATTTTTCGCTTGTGTGCTCGCCTGTGAAGAATATCCGCTCGACTGGTGCCTGAAGAATATTAATTAATCAGAAAAATAAGGTTTGTCGACAAATGAAGAGTCTTTCTACATTATTTTCGATGTCTTTAAACTAGTGCTTGCAATTATGAGATTCACAAGTCATTATGCAAGAAACTGCTGTAAGTCTTCAAACTCGTTTTCAAAATCACATTCTCCTTAAAAATATAAAAAAAAAAAATTTGCACGCGAATTCATAAATTTTTCTTATTTTTTAATCACACGTGTTCTAAAAAAATACTTTCACAAAATCTATTCCCATAAAAACTCTACCAAACAGGGAATTATAGAAAAGGGTACATTAATGGCATACATGATGTTGAAGATAATATTTAAATTATACGTATTGAGTTATATGTAATGATTTAAATTTTTAGATCAAATAGTTTAATATAATATCAGAACAACAAATGTCTTGTGTTCAAGTCTTGACGCCACCCATTTAAATTAATTATACACATTTTAGGCTTTGATGAGAAAAAATATAGCTTGCCTATATGTGAGTGAACGTGTTGAAGATAATATTCAAATGATATGTATTTGATTATATCTAACAGTTTAAATTTTAAAGTAAATGGTTCAACACTTGGTATATGCCACAATATATATGCTAGAGTGCACATGACCATATAAGATAAGTTCTTGCTTGGTATTGCTTTTAATTGCATATAAGAAGTGAGTTCTATCAAAATGTGAATAATAAATGGATAGTAATTTTTGAATCCTACGTAGTGTGTGGATTCAAAATGTGTTTAATGTGCCAAACACAAGAATATGCATTAACAAGCAGGGTTGCGCCGATGAAAAATAATTAATGGAATGAAGATTTTGGTACTTAGAATTCGTTTTACTCATGTTCGTGGAAGTTTCCTAGTACATAGAAGATTAAAATTAGTTATTAACTTTGACTTAGATTAAAATCAATACCAAGCAGGGGCATATAATAAACATGAACAATATTACTTTCTCGAACATAAGAAAAGGAAGAAAAGCAAACACCTTGATATTATGCAGGAGTTGTCGATTAACGTAGATGGGATAATTGGTGTAGCTACCGCGTTGGAAACGATTGTTCCACCAGCGAGGAACGAGTATGTCAATGGCATCGGGAATTTCAGTCCCAAACATATTTCTTAAAACTTCCATGGCTTCTTTCATGGTTTCTCCATCTGTTTGAGCTTCAATGCGCTTCGATTCTTCATTTGTTAGGGTCACAACAAGTATGTTGCTGCCTGGATATGCATTTTCCATTTGCTGATGATATAGCAACAGATGAACTGTGTCAACTTCAGATTGATAAATAATATCCATTCAAAAATCACATCACACTTTAATTAACTAATCATAATACTCTGTGATAATAAAGAAATCATGACTGTACGTCAAAATTTGAATAAATAATTTTTTTCATTTGCTTATAGGTGAAGTTATAATTAAAATCAGCACGAGGTATTGCAAGTTGCAACTCTTTCTTCCTATCAAGTGAAGTTTTGATTACTTGTCAATAATTGTTCGAGAAAAACACCTAAATTAAATAAAAAAATTCACGTCCGTTCACATTTTTTCTTTTTCTTATCAATGGATAGATCTGTTTACTTGTATGATTTAGATGTCTCGTATTTCTGGAAACAGTGATTTGATCGATGAGATTTGATATGAGATTTATATTTGACCGGTACGTGGAAGGGCATATTTACCTCATGTCTATAGAGTTCGGATTCAAGATATTAACTAGAAAACGACCAAAATGTTATTTAAATTCATATAATTAGAATTGATAATGAAATTAATTAGTATATTTTAAGGGAATGATTAATCAACTGCATCACAAAAGGTTTTCGAGCATGTGATATTTGTTTTATTAGGAAATTAGAATAGAAAAATCTTGACTTCATCCAGCCTCGAAACTGGACTAATTTGGAGTTATCGTGGAATTAGATTGATTTACAAAAGATTAGGTCACATTATTTCATTTCATTTCATGACATTGTTTGAAGAAGAAAAACTAGATCAAGGAGAAGATTTTGTGTCAAATTAATTAAAAATGTCTATCTCAATCCCAAAAAAGGACAATTATCAAAAAAGGACAAGTTGGTGAGATTCATTTCAATCCAAATATAGATCAATAAATATATTGAGGACTTCTAAATACACCCTCCAGAAAACTAAAAATTCTTCTCTCTCTCTTTCTCTCGTGCAATTTGTTTTTTCTTTTCTTTGAATCTAGCAGTTCCAGCCTCTACGGTGTCTCCTAAGGATATACTTCTTCAAACAACTCTTCTGAGTCTATTAGTTCCTCCCTCTGCGGAGTCCCTTATTTACCTCATGTCTATAGAGTTCGGATTCAAGATATAAACTAGAAAACGACCATAATGTTATTTTAATTCATATAATTAGAATTGATAATGAAATTAATTAGTATATTTTAAGGGAATGATTAATCAACTGCATCACAAAAGGTTTTCAAGCATGTGATATTTGTTTTATTAGGAAATTAGAATAGATAAAATCTTGACTAATTTGGAGTTATCGTGGAATTAGATTGATTTACAAAAGATTAGGTCACATTATTTCATTTCATTTCATGACTCAATTGTTTGAAGAAGAAAAACTAGATAAAGGAGAAGATTTTATGTTAAATTAATTAAAAATGTCTATCTCAATGCCAAAAAAGGACAATTATCAAAAAAGGACAAGTTGGTGAGATTCATTTCAATCCAAATATAGATCTATAAATATAAAATTAAGCCATGTTGCCAGAAAGAATTTGACATCCTGGATGATCTACTGTCACATGTGAATGGGCCCCACATGGGATCCACGTGAATATAAAATGCAAAAAAATCCCCCACTCACCCCCAACCGTGAGTGTATGTCACCTAGGGTGTCATATTCTTTCTGGCACCCTAACATGATTGATAAATATATTGATGACTTCTAAATACACTCAGAATGGAGTATTGAATGAGATAGAAATTATTTTGAATTTGAGTTGGTTTGAATTTTGAATTTAAATGCTAGACCTTACAATGTACGTTTTAATATCACATCGGTCTAAATCTTTAACGACCGTGGTTAAGTTACCAACACGAATAACATTTCATCAAAGAAAATTCATCGCAACAAAACTGAATTTACCAATTTAACCTTACCAACTCCAACCCGTTTTCACCCAATTTAATAATCAACATAAAATGAAGTAGAAAATCAATAATATTGGAAAACAATAAATTAAACAAACCTGCCAAAAGGTATAGTAACCTCTCCTGTGGTGGGCATAGATGAAGAACTCTTTGTCAGGACCACAAGGCCAGAATTTATATGGAAATTTCAGGAAAATCTTTGTATACACCATAACTTCACAATTTTGAATGGCCTCAGTTTTCCACCTCTGTTACATGTTCTTACATAGTATTAGTTACAGATGTTAATGATATAATATTGCTAATTGATTGAGTCAGACAAAAACAATATTTCTTGAGCTTACTATCCTTTAACAAAGAACCAGTAGGTTTATATACATATTTACGAGAAATATTGAGCCCCGATTTGGTTTGGTTAAAAATAAGATTTTTAGTAAATCTAGGCCCCTGTTTGTTTCCACTACTCTCAACAACAAAATGAGAAATTTGACCGTTTATATCAAAATAGTTGGGCCCACTCGCTCACAAAATGGTCAACTATTGCGGCTAGGCACTATTCCAACTGTAAAAACTCTCATTTTTTGTAGTGTCACTTCACTTGATGTTTAATATAATTTAAGTACTGGTGTTTAAGAGATCAATTTCGCATGTGTCCCTCTGTATATATATATATATATATACACACACACACACACATATCCAGGGGATACACCTCGACCCTTGATTTGAATTCATGTGGAGCCCTTTTTTTCCAAATTAGGAGCCCTCTGGATTCTGGTTGATCATTGACCCTGGCTGACCATCATATATATATATATATATATATATCTATCTATCTGTGGATGGTCAGTTCAACTGCAGGCAAAGGTATCTAAAACTCTGATTACACGTGAATGCACTAAAGACAGTTCATTATGATGCAACTGCAAGTAATATTTGATTAAACTTCATGCAGCCTGGAAGGTATACTCAAGAAGCTATAAAATAAGCTAGCCCTACTCGATGCACAAAGAAACCAGCTGTCACCAACTCTCTTAATTCTATGGATTCGTGAGATGCTACCCACTGTATTTGTGGATTACTCATAAAAAAGTGACTTAAATGTTTATAGACGATTATAATCATGAGCCAAACATAGTCTTATAACTAATATTTTTATCGGACGTTTGGCCAAATATGTCTAAAGAAAAAAAGTTAGTCGATTGTTGAATATAGCTCAATCTCCATCAACCATAAATCTCTTTATGCTGATCTCCCTTGATATTGTGGGCCAAAAAATCCATTCATCAACAATGTGCAGTTGAACAAATTAGGTGACCTCACATGTTACTTAGTCATCTTTGATTTTTATATGACTCAAAATTTTTCCAATTCTTTTAGTATACTAATATGATGAATTAAAAAAAAATAAAAAATAGTTTACTAGAATGGAATCACCTAGAACGCGTTGACTACCAATTAATGCACAAGCGAGTGTCGATATGGCAAACAAATCTGATTTTAATTTAAGTCAAAGTCAAACAATCAATATTAACCATATCTTTTATCGGTCCCACATCTTTTCAACCACACATTTCAAAAACTTTTATCACAATCCGCTAAAAATCTAATTTTAATTTCCACCAAACACCCTCTAAATCTAAGTATACAGTGAAAATCGTCACTAATAGAGCATAGTTTCGTATAATTTAAGGAATCAAGAAATAAAATACTAGTTCATTATGTCATTCAATTCATTTTTTCCCTAACAAATATGCCTACAACTCATTGAGAAATAAGTTGTGAAAGAGAAAAAACTTACGGGCAAGGGCGGCACAAAGGAGATGAGGTGAGATTGGAGGACGCCTATACTAACGGACAGAATCACGTAACTGGCTTCGTAAATGGAGCCATCCTCCGTTTTCACTGAAACGCCGTTCCTCGAATGCTGTAATTCTCGAACAACCTGCCCCATTTTCATCTATTAATAAAGGATCGAACAATTCCATCTGTACAGAAGCAAATCCACGGAAAACCACCAGAATACTCACAAGGAGTGGGCCCCACCATGTATCTTAAAAAAATAAAAAATTTTGCGGAACCCACATGTGTGAGTGATCTGTTACATTTCTATTGGTTTTGCTTTTGTACATTTGTCGAGCATATGACACAATTCGTCAACGAATATGTTTAGTGCAGTTGTTCAAGATCTAACTAGGAAAGAATTTATTAGTTTAATTTGAGCTGCCAATACTTTTACAAGCATATGAGAAATAAGAATGACAAATTGACCCACTCCATTCTCTATTGTTTTGCATTGATATGACTGCCTACCAAGATGTTATTAAACATCACAAAACGCCAAAAATGTGGTCCTTGGTGGAAACGAGATTCGGGTGGCGGCTCAATGAATATTTTTTCGTCACTCTATTCAGTTCATTATCGAATTGAAAGATGTAATAATAAGATCAATCATGCTACAAGAACATGGAGTTTGACATCAAGTTTTACACTTTTCCACGTGTCGCAGCATGATTGACCAGTTTGAAAATAAAACACACTTTCCCGCCCAAACACTTTTGAATTAACAAAGGCATGTCAAACTCCATGTACAAAAACAATGTACAAATGGTTTAATCCTAATAAGATACACGAATTCTTAGTCGTCGCTCGGATATATAGAAGGTAAAATAAAACGAACCTTAGACAAAAAATTAAAATAAAAAATTTCTTAAAATGCAAAAGAAAAAAGAAGGGACTCTTAAAAGTGGGCCATAGATTGCATTGCATATGAAACACATTTTCAGTTTCTGCTACACTTTTACTCAGTCTTCTGGCTTAGTTTTCGTTTGATAATTGACTAAGAGACATAAATTCAAAGAGAAATAATTTCAAACGTACCTTGTTGAGATGTAGACGACTATCCAAGATTTTACCCTCAGAGGTGTAAAGAAAACTCTCTGTCATTTTATACAGCAAATACTCGTACCCTCTGTCATCAGCAACCAAATATTCTCTCTCGCCAAAATCTACGTATGTCGATATTGGTTCCACCTCTGTATAATTTTTACAAGAACCCATTTTCAATGTCACGGGGCAGAGCCAGAAATCGAGTACTCAAAGTCCATGACATAATTACTTTAACATAGTCAAGGTCGAATCGAAAATAAGTACATGTAAAAAATTAACTGACCTGCCATTTCAAAGTCGTGTAGAATGAAGTCGATTGCCAGCTCTATAGGTGTCTTCTGAGTACTGAGAGAGCCCGAAAAGAAAATGCTAATTAAGAAATGGTAAAGTCCCATTAGAATAAAAAATAAGAACAAGAATGTAATAATCAAAGATGAAAATACGGCGTCGTTTCAGAGAGAATGGAAGATTCAGCAGTATCAATATTGGCTTCTTGGCTCTTCAGCTTCTGAATCGCCGAGTCCACTGCTTTTTTGTACGTGTCCGCGGCAATTCCACTCGGATATATCTTCCCACTGTAATAAACACACAAACCAGAAAAAGGAAAAAGAGAAAAGAACAAGTAAGAAAAGGAAAGATTCGAAGTGTCACAATCAACAAAGAGCATCACCAAATCAAATTACTACAAAAAGGCAAAACAAATAAACAGGCAAACTCTGTTCTAAACCAGAGACGCAATCTATCAAACAATGACGATTAATCACTTAAAAATAAATCTGATATGCACGGACTCGACTCTAGCAAACGCGCATGCATGGTTGCAAATCTTCACTCTCTATTCAATACTGATAAAGAAAGGAATATGGTTGTGTAGACCTGTCATCGTAGATGTTGTAACGAGCGTTGCTGTAGTCGGAGAGGAAGGTACGGAGATTGGATTGGTGAGCCAGTTCCCAGACGGGATTTGACTGTTTGCCGCCAACTCCGGCTATCCAACCAGCACCAAGCTCCACCGTTACCCCACAGAATTCCTCCTTCCTTATTCTCCCTCCTATTTTGTCCGTCGCCTCCAGTATAACCACATCATCCACTCCGTTCTCCGCCAGAACTTTAGCAGCAGATATACCTGCATATTTGTAAATATAGGCGTGTTCTTGAGCACAAAAATCTCTTTGGCATTGTGAACAGTAATGAAACGTGTGATAACTTAAGGAAGGAGAGAAATATTTACCAGAGATCCCTGCTCCTACTATGATAACGGAGCACCGATGAGGATTTCCCATGAAGATTTGAGAAATGAAGAAAAAGATTGAAGTGTTTTGTGTTGGCGAGAGCTAAGAAATAGCGGGTGTCAGTTTATATAGTTATTCTAACCACCTCTCCCCCGCCCATCTTTTTTCACGCCCTTCCTAATTTTTTTTTTTTTTTTTAATAATTTGATGCGTCTAGAGTACGTTCGTTTTATGTAAATTAGCCCATTCTCGACTTATTCTAAACGGCTCTTATGTTTTCGATTTTTAAGTGCAATTGGATCGATTTTCAATTTGATTCTAATTTGTCATGTCGAACTAGTCCGATTTTGACATCATGTTCGGCAAATTTTTAATTGTCCCGTCTTATTACAAATTAGTCTCGTTTGTTCGGCCCCTGATTGATAACCATTATTTGAAAATTCTTTTTTTCTACGTACTCATTTTCATCCACGTATTAACACGATACATTATTTTGCGCATAAATTCAAAAAAACTATTCAAAACATTATTTTTGAAAAAAAAAAAAAAGGCCATCAAATAGGGGCTCAATGTGTATGTTCATAAAAATGTGAACTAAATTGCGACAACTTGAATGGTCAGCCTTACTTTTTTTTAATTTTATTTTGTGTCTTTTATAAGAGACACCCACTAGTGCGTGGGAGAAATAAAATAATGTAAATAAAGGAGAGCAATAGATATAAAAAAAAAAAAGAGTAACATGTCAAGGAAACTAGCTAGGCCTAGAGTTGTACAATCGTTTAGATAATGTTAACAATAAAGATACTTTATAAAAGTAAAATTTTAAGTAATTTAAATAATAATCAACATATATATAAGTATTGGAATTACTTCTTTTAGACAAGTTTTTTAAATGGACCCATGACTCAATAAAGTATTATAGTCTAAAATTTCAAACGAGTGGTTCGATTCGTCTAAACTCAACTGACTGGTTGAATTTCAAGATTAACGTTCACAAACAAACCACCATCTTGAACAATATGTTAAAGGCATGTTTGAGCCACAGTATTTTGGAACAGTAGAGTGATGGAAACTACTATTATTTTATTGAAGAATGTGCGATTGAAAATGAGTAGAAGAATATGAATAAAAATTTTAATGTAGCTCAATCAGGAGCTAAATGCAAATCATAATTAACTTAATTTGAACTATTTCTTGTTAATGGGATTGATATTTTAATATGAAATTTCAAAACTTAATTGATATGTATAAAATAATATCATACAAAGTTTTATTTTCATTAAGTAAGTATATAATTTTTTTTATTTTTTTATGCCAACTCTGCTCCTTTATTCTTTTCACACAGTTAGTTCAATGCTTGGTTGGAGCTAATTGTGGTGGAATTAAGTATCATGTGAAGTGGTTTATGGGATCAATTCAGTGGTGGAACCAATATCTATTTACTTGTTTAATTATATGGATAATCTAGAATTAGACTCAGATGATTGACATTAGACTTAATTAAGAATTTAGTACTTGGAAAAGACTGCCATTGAGAAAGTTGCTTTGGAATCAAGAATTATTTAATTTGAGTTCATATGGAAATAGCCCCCATTGTCTTTGACAAAAGGAACCCAACATTAATACATCTCTTTAAAATAGTTTATTTTCTAATTAATAAGATTATAATTATGAGTTAATCAACACCACGTTTTGAGAAAAGTATTATTATCGTGTTCGATATTTGCTGAAAGAAAGATTTATTTGCATGTTTTGCCTAGTTGCGACCTCAGGGAGATGGCACCATCAAGTCGAATCAAAATGATTTAGAACATAAATAATTGTTGCCTCTCAAGGCAGTTGTGTCCATTGAAGATTGTGGCCCCTAACGTAAGATGTAAGTCATGATGGATCATGTTATCTTTTTTTATGCGGGAAAGATGAATGGATAGACGATTGATTAAGAAAGATGGTGGTAGGCTCTTGAAAAAGTTTGAATAAAGTAATGCATTGGCCTAGTAAGAGGTAGATAATAAGTTTACAAGAGAATTGAACCACTTCGCCTAATAAGTTAACAATTTAAGATAGAACTTCAATTTTCAGTTTATTTTTGTTTAATATACTAACTTTTCAAAATGTTTTTTCGAATTTCGCCCTCGGTTCTCAACGAGACACAAATTCAGGTCAATTATCTGGTAAAAACTTCCCAGAATTTCGAAGAACGGTTTAATGCTCAAACTAAAAAATAGAAATAGAATAACAATGAACTACCACACCAAAATTTTTTATATGATTTAATAAAGAACGTGGGTATGACGTGAAGACTTATAAATTACATATTTTGATTAGATATAACAACGTTGTCATTCCACTCAAAAGTATAAACATAATTATCTTTGCATAAGAGCAGATTAGGTACGATTCTTGTGACATAAATCCAAAATTTTATGTTAGAATTCCATCAACATCGGTTCCTCTTTGAAGTAATTGCTTGGAAATCGAAACGAAGGTTCTAAAATGATAAGGGTATTTTCCTCTTGAGAGTATGTGGCACAAATTTTTTAATGAATTTTATATAATTAATTACGATTTTTATTTGACTAATTAATCATATTTCTTGGGGGTTGTTAGCCATCCATTCAACAAAATGTCCATTGGCCAATATGACTCCACATCGCTATTATAGTATTTTTTATAATCTAGATAGAATTAGCCCCCGTTTGGTGATGTTTAAAATCAGATTTTCAGTACATTTTAATAGAAGTAGATGAAATGTGTGGTTGAAATGGATTGTTGACTTTAACTTTGATTAAAATTTAGATTTTAATCAGAACCAAACAAGGTTTTAATATTATCGTTGCAAAATAGTATAAACTATGTCGCATATTATATTTTTTTTATCGTGCCTTTATATTAGGTCTTGAAAATAAAGAAAAATCAACTTCAAGATATGCATAAAGCATGTTTCTTTCAAAGGAAAATTTAGCGTTAAGTCATATTATGCCACTTCATAACCAACCGCCCTAATAATTTCATCTTTGATATTTGGTTACTTCAATACCAAGTCAATATCCTTCCACAAAATCCATAGTAATTAGGATCTGTTTGGCTCGACTCTTTCGTAAGTTGTCATAGACCAACTTTTTTTAATGGATCTTCTGTCAGATAAAATACTTTCAAACAATTATCCAAAAATATTCAGAAGCGACTCGAAAGCAGTTTTTGACTTATCAAAAGTACCGTCGATCGGACCCTTAAATGATGGTGCGAAGCTTATTGACTTAAGTCGACTAGTTGGAGACTTGGACTTGGACAACATATCATGTCACGAAATGATTAATAGAGTCTTGTCAATGCGCACAGTTTTCACTTGTATTGTGGGAACACAAATTAATTGGATTTGTGGCGCCGAAGGTGTTGAAAATGGCTTGCAATCAATTCTATACATTGTATGAGTATCTTTGATACTATATTATTATTATTATTATTATTTCTATTTTCAAATTTGTTGAACATTTTAATTCTTAAACAATTTACCATATTTATTTTGCACAGAAACTTTACAGAGTATCAGGGGCTGTTCTATTCGTATTTCAATTTTTAGTTTTGAGTTTCAAATACATTTTGAATGTTCATTTTGAGATTGTTGAAAACTCGTTCTTCTTTTCATTTTGAAAAGTTGTTTTCAAAAATAAAAAAAAAATGAAGTTTTGGATTGATTTTAACTGAAAACAGCCAAAACGACATTTTTAGCGTTTTCCGTTTTTTTTTGTAAATTTTAAACTTATTTTTGAAAATAGGTAAGTAAACGTGTTTCAGTATTTTCGAAAATTGAAAACTGAAAATGACCTGAAAACCGTAAAGAGAACGCCCTTAGCATTTTGTTTTAGATGCTTTCTGAAAATTGACCCTTTGAAAACTCACAAAAATTTACTTTAAAACGTGTCTTGATTCTTTAAATAAAACTCAGAATATTTTAAGAAAATTTTGTACCATAATACTTGAAATTAATGATTAAGAATTGCCACAGATTGAATATTTTATTGTTAATTTCAAGTAAGAATTAACTTAATAACATGTTTATTTTCTTTAACTCTATTACTAAGAAATATTAATAAGTGAATAGAATATAAATTCTTGTTGAATACCTTCTATCAAAATTAAGTTTAAAAATTTATAAAATAAATTATTATTATTATTTATACAATATTTCCACGACATTTTGCCCCCATACGGTACAAATTCTTTAAAACTCATTTGTCACAAATGATTGTTCGACCACGCATTCCTCCAAAATAATTTTAGACGTGAAGTCGTAACTTTTTCTTACTTTTACCTACAAGCTAAAAAACCACTTTTCACAAAATCTATATCAAATAGACTTTTTAATGTTTGGAAACAACATTTTACGTGTTTGAATAATGTCACGTACTCTCTCTATCCCACAAATATAGACTTGTTTCAATATTCACAAAGATTAAAAAAATGTAATTAATATAATTTAAAACATGATTTTTCATTTTTTTAAAATATATTCCTACATTAAATAATAATTTAAATATGAGTAATTCATATTTATTGATAACAACACACATTAAATATGGACAAATTAAAAAAAAAACTAAAAAATAATTATACTCTCAATAAGGAAAGTCGCCTATAATTTGGGATAGACGAAAAAGACAAACAGGTCTTTCTTTATGTGACAGGGAGAATATTATTTTCTGTTCCGATTTCCATTTTCGTGCGAACTAATTAACTTTTTCGAGTTAAAGCTCGAGTAGGTCGAGTGTCAAAAAAGCGTTTAGAAAAGTTGCATTTAAATGATACAGTGGCACTTTGTCCAATGGTGTAGGAGCTGGAACGACACGTGAAAGTCCGTATATCCCATGATGGCTTCTCTACTTCCAGCCACATTGCTTAGACTATTGATTGTTGCCCCTTTTTACTTAGTCAACTAAGTCCCAGTTTGGTATCGATTAAAATTCAGAGTTTCATTTAAATCAAAGTCAACGGTCAATTTTAACCACATATTTTATGAGTCACAATTTTTCAACCACATATTTCATTAA